GGAAGCTCCTGGCTCCTGGCTTCAGATGGGTGCAGCGCTGACTGTGGCGGCCATTTGGGGAGTGAATCAATGGAAGGAAGACCTTTCTCTGTCTCTGTCTCTCTCTCTCTCTCTCTCTCACTGTCTATAACTCTACCTGTCAAATAAAAAAATTTAAAAGAAAAAGAATATTGATTTAAACAGAAATTGTGATTCGGCTATGTTGGGAGAATGAGCAGAAAAATTGATGTGCATATTTGTGTTTATATGAAGGGAGTGGTGGTGGTAAGATCATTAAATACTAAATGAACAGATGCTAAGTAAAATTAAGTAAGAATTCTTAATGTAAGAATGAACTGTGTATGAATATAATGTTAATAGTCTCTTCAGGGAGTTATTAATAAATGAACTTTAGGTAAAATCATTGTAGAAGTTTCTCCAATTCGTGACTGTAGATGTCCCTCTGACTCACTCATGTACATGTCTATGACCCATTCCTGGAGATGTCTCTCCAACCCTTTCATGTAGATGTCTCTCTGATCCATGGTGCAGAAATCTGTAGCACATGCTGGGCTGGAATGGCTGCAGGAGAAAATTCCAGTACATGGAAGAAATCCCAGAATAGCTTTTTGAGGTTGGGGAATGAGGACAGGCTTTTACCCTCTATCCTAGGGTACAAGTGACTCAGGGTATCCAAGACAAGGTTCCCAACATGTAGGCAAGACATTGCTCTCCCAGGTTGGTTCATCCTTCCCTCTCACTGTCATCAGCCACTTCATTCCTCTTCCTCTACTGTCAAACCCTTACACAATTCTACTTAAAAAGAATTAGTCAAGAAACTTCCATTTGATCCTATTTATTTCTTTGGTGACTGTCTTATTTCTCCAACCTCATTCTTATTGACAGTCTGTACTTTTACCATTTTTCTCTCTGTTACCTTCTTGACCTGTGGCAATTGATTTCTCTCTGCCTTCCAAATTAGCTGCATCAGTAAAACCTACAGCTGCCCTCTTCATTGTCACCACATGGCTTTTACCTACATGTTTTAGCCTGGAAAAGAAAAGCTGAAAGAACAGAACAATGAATCTTCCAGCTTAGTTCACCCAACTGTTAAGATTTTGCCATGTTTGCTGTCTACCACCTCCTGTCTGGCTGCATGTGCACACATGTGTGTGCTGTGTGTGTGCACATGTGTGTGTACATACACTTGGGCAAAACATTTTGAAAGAAATTTGTAATTGTCATGATATTTCATTTAAATGCTTCATTCCAAATACTCCACTATGATACTTAAGCATGTATCTCCTAAAAAATACCATTCACTGCAATATTTTGTGGATCTTAAGGAATTTAACATGGATTCAATAAGATCACTAAATAAACAATCCATATTCAAAACCCTGAATTTGCTCCTCCAACAGTCTTTGAAGTTTTGTTGTTCGTATTTATTTATTTATTTATTTGAAAGGCAGCGTTACACAGAGAGAGAAGGAGAGAGAGAGAGAGAGAGAGAGAGAGAGAGAGAGAAAGGTCTTCCATCCACTGGTTCACTCCCCAATTGGCCACAACAACTGGAGCTGAGCTGATCTGAAGTCAGGAGCCAGGAGCTTTTTCTGGGTCTCCCATGTGGGTGCAGGGCCCAAGGACTTGGGCCATCTTCTACTGCTTTCCCAGGCCATAACGGAGAGCTGGATCAGAAGTGGACCAGCTGGGACTTGAACTGGTGCCCATATGGGATGCTGGCACTGCAGGCGGCAGCTTTACCCACTGCGCCACAGCGCCAGCCCCCATATTTTTTTTTAACTTAGGATCCACATAAGTTTCTTGCATTGTCATTGCTTTTACTTTTCTTTGGTCTCCTAATCTACATCTTAGGATGTTCTAGCCTCTTAAATTCCCTAACAGTTGACATTTCTGCAGCTTTCAGGCTGATTGTCTGGGAGAATGTCTCATACTGGACTTTCCTGAAGGTTCCCTCTTGCTTCAGGTTAAACATTGCAGCTTTGTTTTGAATTCTGGCAGGAATACTGCATAAATAATGCTGTGTACTTCCAGTTGCATCACACCATGATGTCAGATTTGTCCCATTATTTGTGAGGTTGATTTTCGTTCCTATGTTGCTTGCCAATGTTTTTGTAAAAGCATCTTTTCCCATTTATGATTAACAAGTTGGGTTTTGAGAACATGCAAGCATCCTGCTCCCAAGCTTTTCATTCAGTAGTTTTAATCTGCAGTGATTATCCTTGCCTCAACGAATTACTGAAGTGATGATTGTGAAGTGGAAATTTTTAAGTTCCTGCTACACTTATTAGCCAGCTTTCTTATGTAGAAAAGAGATTAATGTTCTTGCTCTTTGTCCGTATTAATACCAGAATGGACTACAGATTTATTCCCTTTTCTTCTCTTTTACAACCTGAAGCCATCATTATTCTTTGTGATGGTAAAATCAACACACATGTGGCCAGTGGTGGGATCGGGGGCTTTTACTCAGCTTCTTGGTGCTTTCTTTTTTTAAAGATTTATTTTATTTATTTGAAAGACAGTTATAGAGCAAGGTAGAGACAGAGAGGTCTTCCATCACTGGTTCACTCCCCACATGGCCAAAACAGCTGGAGCTGAGTTGATCCAGAGCCAGGAGCCAGGAGCCAGGAGTCAGGAGCTTCTTCCAGATCTCCCTCGTGGGTGCAGAGGCCCAAGGACTTGGGCCATCTTCTACTGCTATCCCAGGAAAATTAGCAGGGAGCTGGACTTGGAGCAGCCGGGATTCGAACCAGTGCCCATACGGGATGCTGGCGCTGTAGGCCGGGACTTTAACCTGCTGCACCACAGTGCCAGCCTCCTGGGTGCTTTTGAAATATATCCAGGAGTCTTTCAGACTTTCTGACTTATTGGCCCCAGTTGTTCTGGCCTTGCCTTGTACTTGCCCTGCCCCAGACCTAGAATTATCTGTGTTCCCGTGAACCTGTGTTCCCTTCAGTTCTTCCAGTGTACCCGCGTTCCCTGGAACGCCAGACTCTATTTGCCCAGCCTCCTCCTTGAAGCTGTTTCACAATACTCCACGGCCTTTGATCTCTTATTGCCTTCAAAACTGCTCTTAATTTCTTTCTTTCTTTTCTTTCCTTCCTTCCTTCCTTCCTTCCTTCCTTCCTTCCTTCCTTCCTTCCTTCCTTCCTTCCTTCCTTCTTTTCTTTCTTTCTTTCTTTCTTTCTTTCTTTCTTTCTTTCTTTCTTTCTTTCTTTCTTTCTTTCTTTCTTTCTCAGATTCATCTGTTTCTTCAAAAGGCAGAGTTACTGAGAGGCAGAGAGAGAGAGAGAGGTCTTCCATCCTCTGGTTCACTCTCCAGAAGGCCACAATGGCCAGAGCTGTGCCGATCCAAAGCCAGAAGCCAGGAGCTTCTTCCAGGATTCCCACTGGGTGCAGGAGCCCAAGGACTTGGGCCATTTCCCACTACTTTCCCAGGCCATAGCAGAGAGCTGGATTGGAAGGGGAGCAGCCAGGACTCAAACTTGCGCCCACATGGGATGCCGGCACTGCAGGTGGTGGCTCTATGCACCACACACAGTGCCAGCCCCCAAAACTGCTCTTTCTGATTCCTTTGTTCAAGTTATTATTTTTTTTAATTTTTGAAAAGATTTACTTATTTATTTTAAAGATAGAGTGACAGAGAGAGAGAGAGAGAGAGAGAATGTTCCATCTATTGGTTGACTCCCCACATGCCTGCAACAGCCAGGGCTGGGCCAGACTGAAGCCAGGAGCCAGGAGCTCCATCTGGGTCTCCCACATGGGTGGCAGAGGCCAGGTACTTGAGCCATCATCTGTTACCTTTCCAGGTTCATCATCCGAAAGCTGTGTTGGAAGCAGAGAAGTCAGGGTTCAAGCTGGCACTTTGCTATGAGATGCTGGATTCAAAAGTGGCGACATAACCTGTTGCACCACAGGGCTGGCACCAAGCCACTCGTTTTTTTTTTTTTTTTTTGACAGATGGTTGTGGGGAGCAACTCAGACTAGACTAAGTTACTGGAATTAAGACTTATTCTATGCATCTGCTCTCCCACAATATGGCGCTGGGAGAGGAGTAAAACAACTTTTACACAGCTGCCTCCAGTTTGACCAATAACCTGCAGGAGCTGATCCTGCTCCTGATTGGAGGAGAGCAGCGTACTCGGTGTGTGGGTAGCAGAGTTGGGATTGGCGGAAGAGGACTATAAAGGAGGAGAGAGACAACATGCACCAGGAACATCTAAGGGGAACATCTATCTGAAGGAACATCTGAGCAGCCCCTGAGAGAGCCGGCCGGCGGTGTGCTGCTCCCCCGCGGAAGTGGGGAAAGTGGCAGGGGGAACCGCCCTTCCACGGAGGTGGAAGGGACGGTAGCCAACCCGGGAAGAACCAGCAGCAAACCCGGGAAGGGCCGAGCAGACAAAAGAACAGCGCAGGGTCCTGTGTCGTTCCTCCACGAAGAGGGGGAGCGACAATGGTGAATTGCATTTTACATGTGTCTGGCACCATGTACTCTAAGCATGAACACCAAGAAGTCTTCTACTTTGAATGTCTAGCTAGGGGATCTTGTAATTTGGTATTCAAATAGGACACTTTGAAAGTGAGAGGAGGGAGCTGGACAGTACTGTGAATAGTGGGCTAAGCTTCTGTCTGCAGTGTTGGTGCAGTGTTGGTACCCCATATGGGCGCCAGTTCCAGTCCAGGCCTGGGAAAGTAGTAGAAGATGGCCCAAGTGCTTGGGCCCCTGCACCCACGTAGGAAATCCAGAAGAAACTCCTGTTTTTGGATCGTTCCAGCTCCGACTGTTGTGGCCATTTGGGAAGTGAACCAGCAGGTGGAAGACTTCTCTCTCTGCCTCTACCTCTCTCTATATAACTCTATCTCTGAAATAAATAAATAAAATCTTAAAGAAGAGATAATACCAAGGTTTTTCAGACTTAAAAGAAAGTGAAAAAAATTACTCTAGGGATGTAAATTGATATTTTCTGAGACTCACCGTGAATTGCACCATCTACACCTACCTGATCCTCTAATTCTGGTTTCCATGGTCAGCATATAATCCCCCATGCTCCCCAAACCTGCAGCTGTCCATTTTAGGAAGCGGAGTCAAAAACTCTTACTAGATTTAAATGCACTTTGAAATCTGGCCTTTCCTTATGAAACCCCATGTGTCACTATGTGCAGCACACTCCCTTCAGCTTGGCTCGCTCAGCACACGAGCCTGTATATCTTGGAGTCACCATCTCCAGCGCTGCACAGCTCCCAGCCTGTAGCAGGTGCTCACGTGTGAGAATGTTCAGGAAGGGCTCTCGGCTTCCTTCAGCATGGAACAGGCTCCTCCCATCTGTACCCTGGCTTCTTCCCCCTATGTCGCCTTAGCATTTCTCATGTAGGAGTTAATTCTCACCAGTTCTCGTCCCATCGTGATGCCACAACAGCGTGTTCACTCTTTCACCTTCTATGTCAGCTGCACAAGAGGAAATGTGGCTTGAAACAAAAAATACTCAGTGCCACTCTGAAACAAGGGGAAAACCTCCGTGAACTTGACTGCAGAAAGACTCAGTGACGGAGGTGGGGGTGGCGCGAGGTACTCACGACCGGGTAAGGGGAGGGGGACATTGGACAGTCTGCAAGGCCTGGCCTGCCTCTAGTGGGCGCGGGAGTCTCTGCATGAAGCCAGAGACGTGGTCTTGCAACAACTCCACTGGAAAGAGGAGTGCTGGATGCATGGTAACTCCAGGAGGGAAGAGAGGTGCCGTGCGAGCAGGAGCAAGCCGGTGGCACAGCAGCGCTTTCCACGTGGCAGCAGCCTGTGACAGTTAATTCTGCATGTCAACATGGCTAATCCGTGGCACCCAAATATTAGTTGGGCATTATTCTGAATGTTTCCATGAAGACATTTTTCAGATGAGATTAACATTTAGATCAGTGGACTTTTTTATTTCAAGATGTATTTATTTATTTGAAAAGCAGAGTTACAGAGAGGCAGAGGCAGAGAGAGAGAGGTCCTCCATCTGCTGGTTCACTCCCCAAATGGCCACAATGGCTGGAGCTGCGCCGATCTGAAGCCAGGAGCCAGGAGCTTCTTCTGGGTCTCCCACATGGGTGCAGGTACCCAAGGACTTGGGCCATCTGCTACTGCTTTCCCAGGCCATAGCAGAGAGCTGGATTGGAAGTGGAACAGCTGGGACTCAAGCTGGTGCCCATATGGGATGCTGGCACTGCAGGTGGCGGCTTTACCCAGTACGTCACAGCTCTGGCCCAATTAATTAATTTTAAGAAAGACTGGGGCCCCTGGAAAAGAAGAGAATTCTGCCAGCAGATTACCCTAGATTAAAAGGACTCTTCTTGGGGCCAACGCCATGGCTCACTTGGTTAATCCTCCGCCTGCGGCACCGGCATCCCATATGGGCGCCGGGTTCTAGTCCCAGCTGCCCTCTTCCAGTCCAGTTCTCTGATGTGGCCCAGGAGGGCAGTGGAGGATGGCCTGGGTGCTTGGGCCCCTGCACCCACGTGGGAGACCAGGAGGAGGCACCTGGCTCCTGGCTTCAGATCGGCGCAGCGTCGGCTGTAGCGACCATTTGGGGAGTGAACCAATGGAAGGAAGACCTTTCTCTGTCTCTCTCTCACTGTCTATAACTCTACCTGTCAAAAAAAAAAAAGACTCTTCTCCATCTTTCGCTTACTGCCCCCCACAGATTTAAGGCTTACCAACCTCCTACAATCACATGAACCAACTCCTTAACAATAATCTCTCTCTCTGTCCACATTTATTCCCTTTTGGTTCTGCTCCTCTGGAGAACTGTGACTAACATGAAAGTCCTAAACCACTCAATCTATGAAATGGCCACAGTTTCCAGACTGAGATATTAAGATTGAAAGCACTTGACACTGGGTGAATTCAACAACCACAAGGAAACCCCACATCCAGGTAACGTTGTTCATTTGTCAGGAGCTATTTATTGCCAGGTGTTGTTCTGGGAATGCAGGAGTCAGTGGGAGAGCACACACATCTCTAAGACACGTGATATGGAACACACGCATACATTCTAGGTATATACAGTATACATCCATGCGTACGTAGTTCCATGAAGGAAAAGTAAATGAGAGTGAAAGACTTTCCTGTTTTAGCTGGGACAGTTGAGGACAACTTTGCCTAAGAGGTGGCCTTTAAACAGAGGCAGAATGATGTCAGGAGCAAGCTGAGTGTAACGACCAAACGCGGGGAATAAAGAGGAAAATCTTACGAGTAGTGGGAAAAGTTCCAATAGCTACAAAGGAATGGCCGTCAGATTGGCAGCAGCCTCTTCAGCACTAAGAGTGCATGCTACAAGAATTGTTTCCTTAAGGAAAGTATCGGTCTATCGGTCGTGAGGGAGGGGAGAGAAGGCATTGCTGGACGCCAAGGCTGCACGTGTCGGCTGTCAGAGACTCTCGCTGGAAGAGCTGCGAGGTGTGCATGCTCCCCGCAGAAGGGAAGACACCCAGGAGCCTGGAATGGAGCAGTGGGGAGCAAAGACATTGTTGATACATGTTGGTTTGCTTGCTGAAAATAAGATGCCTATTTAAAACTCCTACATATAACATACCAGACAAACATTTTGGAAGACAGGTAGTAGGGGAAGTCCTGAGAGATGTTCAAGTGTTTAAGGTTCTCGCGCTGATGAGGAAGAGGTTAGAGATTCTGATTAAATTTAGGCTTGATTAGAAAAAGACAGAGTTCCTTATTCCTTGGGGCCTGGATTGGATTGAATCTTCTTGAGTCTTCTCTAATTACCCCTGCACTCTTTCATGGATCTTTGCAAGTCCTCTAGCATATAAATGGCATGTCGGTGCCATTTAGCACTCAGCTATGCGATATGCTGGCCACTCAAGCTCTCAAACTCCCACCGATTAATCAGCAGCCATGCCTAGCTGACACCCTGCTTCTAACACCGCCACCCACCAGCTTTGTGAACTTGGTCACATGGCTGGCCACTCTCGATTTCCGTTTTCTTTTAGCAAACTGAGAGGATAAGGGGAGATGTCTGTGAAGAGCCATTCCAGCACCAAGGATAGCAGGTTCATTCTTCTTTCCTGCAAGTCCTGGAAAAGAATGGTCTAGAATGCTGAAACAGAGAATCAATGATATGCTACAGCCAACAGGCGAAGTCACTAGGTCAATAGCCATACCTTTTCTCTGGCCCCTCACTTCTTCTCCAGCCTGGGGGCGGGGGTGTCTCATTTCTCTCCCCCACTAGGCTCTTGGTCAGCCTTGCTTCAGGACTGATCCCTGAGACGCTCTGAAGTGCCTGCCTTTGACTGGGTTGAGGCCGAATGGAGCACTGAGTCACCAAGGCCTTTCCTTCTGCTGCGTGCTGGGCTCACTCGCTGTCCCTGGGGATTGGCCTCAAGACCCCTGGAGGAAACACAAATCCATGGATGCTCAGCCCCTTATATAAAATGGCGTAGTATTAGCATTTAAGCTACACACACCCTCTGTGTACTTCACATCAGCTCTAGATTGCTTATAATATCTAATACAATGGAAATTCGGTATAGTCACTGAAATGCAATGTAAATAGTCGGTATACCATATTGTTTAGGGAATAAGATCAAGAAAAAAGATCTGTACATGTTTGGTACTGAAGCAACCATTGTAGGCTTAGCTACACGGTACACATGAACAACAATGTACTACTTCTTTCCCCAGTGTTTTCCATCTCTGGTTGATTGAATCCTTGGATACAGAACCCACAGGTGCAAAGGACTGACTCTATTTCCTGTCAGTTCATTCTGCTGTTGCACACTCTTACTGCCTTTCTGCTTCTGCTTATCAACTTTTTCCTCAGCCCATGATTCACCCGACCTTGGGTACCTGCCTGATCTCTCGAACCCACTCAGATCCTGCTCTTTTGCGCTGATGCCCCACTTCCAGATGCTTGCTTCTGCACCAGTGGACACCTCCCTGGGTCTGGGTTATGCCTCTACTCTTCTGTATCCTAGGCCACCAGCCCTTTCTTCGCTCCCAATTGCTCACTCACTGTGCATAATGCAGCATGACAGCAAAAACTATGTCGTTCTCACAAGTTAAGACTTTGGAAACTTTGGGCTGTTGACAATTGCCTCGAAAACATGTAAGATGCATCTCTTTGGAGCCCGCTCTTTTCCAGTGCTTTTCCCCCATAGCCTCAAGGGCAGGTGTTAACAACCATGGGAGGGGCTGCCGTGGTAGACAGTCAGCTGTCTTCTTCTCACAGACATCACAGCGTTGATTTCATCCTGCACCTGCACCTAGACTCCATTTGGTGCATTTTTCTTAGGCTTTTAACCAAAAACAATGATAAACAATGAACTTGATTGGCCAATTCTATATTCCAAAGTAAGCGTTATGACAAGAGGCAGCGTGTGAGTTATTTATGGCTGCACAAGAAGTCGACACAGACATAGCAGCATACAACAACATACGCTGATTATCTCAGTTCCTGTGGGTCGTGAGGGTCCTCTTCCTCATGGACTCTCACAGGGCTGTAATAATGTGTGGGATGGAGCTGCAGCCTATCCAAAGACTCAGCTGAGGAAGGATCTCCTCCCGAGCTCTGCTGCTGGTTGCTCACAGAATTCAGGTCCTGGAGTGTTGTTGGACTGAGGGCCTCTGATCCTTGCTGGTCCTTGACCAGATGTCACCTCTTGTTCTGCATGTGATATAATTGTGGAAGTAAGTCCCATCGTCTTTGTCGTGTTCCATTGATTAAAAGCAAGTCACAGATCCTAACCACAACTGAGGGGAGGAGATCACAATTGGCGTGAGTACAGGGAGAGTGGATCATGAGGGACCGTCCTAGAGTGTATCCATCATGTGTGGCAAAATACAGTGGGAAAGACATTGACTTTGGAGTTGTCTGCCTTCCAATTTCACTATCATTTGGTATCTGTTCTTCTGTGTGTCTTGATATCTTCATTTGTATTAAAAGATAATGCTAGTACCTACCTGATAGTATTATTGTGAAGATTAAGTGAATTGTTGCATTTAAGCATGCAGGACAGCCTGGCATATAGCAAGCGCCATGTAACTGTAGCTTTTACTCCTTCTCTTTGCTATTTTCTCTAGATGTGGCTCTTGGGCAGTATTTAGCTTCTCTCTAGGAATACTTTACAATGTCAAGCAATGGTAC